CATGCTTGTGTGAGCTGGACTCTGACAGAGGACAATTCTGCACATCCTCCTCATGAAGTGCTGGCTTCCCACAGAAGCACCTTCAGTCAGAGACTCATTTCATCACGCTGCACCACAGAGCTCTACAGGAAGCCATTCCTGCCTGTAGCCATCAAACTGCAGAATTAATATCTGACAGTTATTTCACTTATTATCTATTTATTTCATTCCATGGGGGAGTGTTGGCCTAGTGGCGACGGTGTAACTTTGTGATGAAAGTTGGTGGGGACACTCTAAGGCTGATAGACCTACACTTACTAGAAATAAAACCCTTTCGGTAGGGTTTGTATTTTCCAAAATTGAGCCCAAACATATATTTATTGAATGTTTTCCTATTGTTCAGAACAAAAAATAAAATAAAAATACGCTAATATTTATATATATATATGGATAGTTAGACATTAATGTATAAAAAAGGATGAATAACAGCCAATTCTGATGCCAACAGCGATACATCATGCCTCCTTAGTATGGACATAATTTCAGTTTTATTCATCCAGAAAACTGTGGATTGATTGATTGATTGATTGATTGATTGATTGATTGATTGATTGATTGATTGATTGATTGATTGGATCTTTTCCCACTCAGCTACATCAGTGATAATCTTCCTTCAAAAGCAGAAAATTCTAATTTAGAAATTTGTCCCACATATTGTTGAGAGCCTAAATCTATGTATTGCAATAATTGGGGACACCTGTCCTTCAGACAGTTACGCCTGTGCCTGGTGGGTTAGAAGGTTGCAAGTTCAAATCCCACTACCTCCACTCACACTGCTCCCTGGGCGCCTGACAATGGCAGCCCACTGCTCCCCAACAGGATGGGTTGGATACAAAGGTACATTTCTCCAACATGAGATCAATAACGTTCAAATATTATCAATTTATTATTACTTCACTTTGCACAATAACACGGTCATTAGAATAGGTAGAATGCTTTAGTGCTATCTATGATAGAAATGTGACTAGGTAGAATGCTTTAGTGCTATCTATG